TTTAACTGGTTACTTTAAACTTACAGTTTTTATTGATAGCCTTCACTCATTGTTCCAGCAACAGCCCTGTTATTGTCAATACTGTGAATCAGAGAGTGTGTCTGTTAAAATCATTATCATAACAACATTTTACTCATCAGTATTACACAATGATAGTGTTTGCAGCTGGGCCCGATCATGTCAGAGTTCACACTGTAGAGGTTTTTATGAACAACTGAAGTTGGACTGAAATGATCTGAACGCCGTCTGACGAGTGATAAATGTTGGTATGAGAGCGGCTCTGTCTGTGTGAGCTGATTATGTCACCTGAAAAACAAATGTGGAGAACAGAATGTGCTGAAGCTGCTGTTTGGTTTTCAGATTGTGTTTCTCTCGCTGACAGCTGCTAATTACACGGCTCTCACCTCAGTGTGCACACGCTGATTGTAATGGCTGATTGCTGGGTTGTAAATACTTTGGCACGATGTGTGTGTCGCTGCTTTGTGTGCTGACATTCTTGTGCTTGTTATGTACTGAATGCCACATAAATATGCTAAATATATGATGACCCCATTCTTCTGTAATAACAGCGGTGAAGCAGTTTTGGCAGAGACTAGTCAGGTTACCTAACTCGTTGGCTCCAGTTCCAACACCAGTCGTATCCTGATCCTGTGGGAGACCTCAGACTGGGCCCACCGCGCTGGACCCGTGTTATATGCTCACTTCATACACTTGATGATTAAGATGACACGAAACAATTAAATCTGAACAAAATTATTAGCAAAGCCCTGCAATCCCTGTGTGGAGCTGAACAAGGACACATCAGATGTCAAAGGTCAGTCGTGGTAGAAATGCAGGAGATGAAAGCACAGGTCGTTCAGAGACACGGTGGCAGGTGAGCGATGGATGCAGCTGTTCCAGCTGTTCCAGCTGTTCCAGCTGTTCCAGCTGTCACTGCTGCGTCACCACCGTTACGATTCATCTGCCAACAAACACGCAGATTAAAAAAGACTTTTTGTTTTAAACATACAAACGTGTGATTACCAGAGTCATCCGCAGGAAACAGCTGAGTAAAATTCAGTTAGTGATGTTTCTAACATCAGGGTCAAAGAACATGTCGATGAGTAACTGTGCACACAGTATGTTGCTGCCAAGCCTGAAACAGGAACAAACATTTGGGCCTCTTTGCAGCAGGAACAGCAGAGTCTGTGAGGAACGTCCGCCTCCAAAGCTCGATCAAGTTTGATAAAGTCTGATTGATTACAGCTGCACTGCTGCAAAGCTGCCCGGAAACAGCAGCAGAGTAGTTGGAGTATCTGAGTCTGAGTGAACAGTCGGTTTAATGGCAGCTAAGTGATGGTGTCTTTGCTTCAGCTGCACCTTTGGAAAAGCCTCCACGCTTCTACTCGTGCCTCAGACTCTATCCAATCCTTCCAATCGAGATGGAAAGCGTACTTCTTTAACCTGGTTCTCAGTTTAAACCTTTTAAACCTGTAATAAAGTTCATTGCTGGTTTTTGCTTTCATGAGCTGACCTCCTGGATTGAGCATAACTACTTTACTCTCCCGGTCTGTCACTACTTTCTGACTGTGCCCGAGCTGTAATGAATTGATGCTGAGTCTCTGTATCATTGTGAGCACTTTGGTGTTTTTGGGTTTTTCACTGTGTATATAAATAAAACTGTGTTGTAAGTGTGTGGATGTTTGTGTAACCCTCGCTGTGTTTGCTGTAGGTGCGTCTGTGTGTCTGTGGCTTCAGCAATAAAACAAAGACTCAACCAAACATCCCCTGCAGCTTTAAATCGCTGCTTCTCTCTAAACTCTAATAATAGTTCATTGAAAGATGAGATGAGCCTGAACAAATCAGCCTGGCGCCTGAAAGGAGAACAGTTTGAACCTGCAGCCGTCCTGCTTCCAAAGCTCACATGCTTCTGATGCTTCTGTCCTCGTCTGTGTGTTTATCCTCTGCTACTGAAGCTGAACGCTCACAGCTCAGTGACATTCATCCAATTTGTGCTTTTCTCACAGCCACGAGCTGTCCATGCTTTTCTGGTTCCTTGTGTCCAGCAGACGAGTGCTGACATGAGGGTCTGCAGGCCGTCGGTGATGAAGAGTTTCGCTGCTCACAGCAGACGTCCAAACTTCACTCTACAAAGTTTTCACTTCTTTTAAACACATTATTATTATAAAATACTTCATTAGAAACTAAATGCTTCCTATAGAAACACCAGCATCTGTTTTCTTCTGCTCGTCCTGTTCAGACTGCTGTGAAACATGACGAAGCATCTCTGCTTCATACCTGCAGTTAGTCCGACTCCACACATAAAGGCTCCGATGGATTTGAAGCCAGGACATTCTTCCTGTGAGGAATCAGAGGAAAACATGTTTGTGTCCATGATGCCAGCAAGTAGATTCCTTTTTTATTACCTCCTCACACTTTGATATTAGTTGATGACACCAAAGCTGCTCTAACAGCAGTTTGGCCTCCCGCCCACTGACACGCCGTTTTCACTCACGGCAAACGCAGCGTTTTCAAAACGCTCTCCAAGCGGAAACATTTGAGAACGCAGTTTTCGTGTCACAGCGTGGTCAGTGAACCCGGAGCCTTTCTAAAACGATGATGCGTGTTAGTCATGTGATGCAGTCATGTGACCAATTAAACACAGATAGCAGAGGGCAGCAGCTGTTTTGTTTGACAGCCCTGTTAAAGATTAACATCAGTCTGTACGTGCTACAAAGTCTTTAATTCTCACTCACTTTTGCAACTTTGTACTTTTGTGTTACTCACAGCAACAACTCCACCTCATTGTTCGTCCATTTAACAAACTCGCTGCTTTTCCTCGACGTTCTGCCGCCACGTTTCAAAGAGCCGGAGAGTAAATAAGCGGCAGACAGAAATGAGGCAGGTTGAATCTTCACGCATGTGCAGGACTGGAACTTAAGCGTTTACGGACGTTTCAATGTGGACGCACAACTCTGTGAGAACGACTGAAAACACTAGTGTGGACGCGGAGGCGAAAACGCCGTTTTCACATTTCTCCGGATTAGTGTGGACGTAGCCGCAGAGCGCACTGCTGTGGAGCTGTGAGTCACTGTCATACAAACACAAACATGTCACAGCTCAGCAGCTCATGGTGGAGCAGCGTCTGAGTGAAAGCAGGATGATGGATCTGCAGTTCCAGATGTGTCTGATATCCAGATGTGCAGATCTTGGAAGCGTGTTGGTCGTGTTCACATGTTTCTGGTGTGTTTCTGTAGTTCTCAGGTGAATATCTCCTTCATAGAGCAGGCCTTGTGCAGCGTCTCTGACCTCTGACCTCTGACGATGAGCTCCTGACCTTCCTTCTCTGCACCTCCACCCCTCCCTTCTCCGTCACCTCTCGTGCTGACGCAGCATTTTTCTTTTCTCTTCACGTCTCCACGCTTCTACACGCTCTCGTCGCTCCAAAGCCTGATTACCACGCCGACACTGGAGCTTTCCACAGGAAATGCTTACTCACACTTTCCAGGCTCGCTTGTGAAAACTGGAAAATCAGCAACGGATCAGAGAGCAGGGATGGGGACGAGTGTTATTCCTGGACACGGTCCACACCACCACACCTCCACCACGGCCGCCTGCTGCACCACTAACCCGGTTGTAGTACGACTCCTCTGAGATGTGGAGGGAGGGTAAAGGTGAAAGGGCAGCAGGTTCGCAGCGTGAGGTGGCGTGAGAGAGCGAGCAGGCCGACACATGTTCAGAGCACTGATTACTACAGCTCCACCACAGAGGCTCTGTCACTTCCACCCGTCGCTCTCCTCACATTATTCATGTGATAGAAGCATTAAAAGCACCTCGGACCATTAATCTTGATTCATAATGACACAATAACCTGAAAGACCACATCTGAGGAGCTTTTCTGTTCAGGGAGACATTTCACAGACATCCAGTGAAGCAAAAACCAAAGACAGTAAAACGTCTGCTGCAAACACAGCGATGAGTCTACGTGACTTTTACACAGGCAGGTGATTGTTTGTGTTTTATAGAAAATACACGATGGCACATGTTCAGCATTAACACTGGCTGAGGAACTTATCATATCTCAGGCCTGCATCCTCTGAACATCACAGATTTAAGAGGCCTAACTGTTAACGTCCTCTGTTTTCCAGCACACGTCCACTTGTGTTTCCAATGCAACGCTCACGTCTGCCCCGACAAACCTCCCACGTCTCTAACGAGATATCCCCTCGACCCTCTCGGGATATTTCGTCACGTCTGGATTCCTCACACCGTGGCTGTGAAGCTCAGCGCAGACGTCTGCTGAGGCATTTGATGTGACGCTGGGACCGGCCCGGCCAAAATACGAGCTGCTGATGCGAGTGAAGTTTTCCATCGGAGCGCTGAATGTCTGCAACCAGGGGCCAAGCGGTAGGAAAGCAGACACAGCCGTGTTTTTCATCGTGTTTGGAGCTCAACTGGAGCCTTTTCTTCCAGAGGATATTCCTGCATTTACTGCTTTAATGATGGGCTGTCTCCACCGTCCTCCACAGGTGTAACCAGCCAGCTGGGATGCTTTCTCCACTAAGCTGCATATAACCCCTCTCACTGGGCATGCTGGCAGCAATGATGCCCTGTGTGCCCTGCATACGTCTGCATGTATGCAGACCCCTGTAAGTTTTTCCAGTCGGCAGCGTGAAATGCTGCGAGTTTATTGGTGAGTGTCTGAAGGAAAACCCTCTTGGAATATTTTACAAGACAGTTAAAATTCTTCAGGGTCCTTCGAGCAGAAATTCATCCGCTCAGTGAGAGACTGTTGACACAGATACTCTGCAGCTGTGTGTGTGTGTGTGTTCGGTCGCTTTCAGGGTGGCAGGCAGGTGCACTGTCAGGCTTTTAGGCCCTGTGACAAAAGGTCAAAGGTCAGATTCTTATGAGGGAGCTAAGCAGGAGCACATTTGTCAGTAAGAGGCCGACTGTGGATGGAGGACGTGGACCTGCAGTGAAAACATGGTGTGTAAAGAATAAAATGACACCAGTGATCCCAGCATGACCTACAGGTGAGTCAGTAAGACTGGAAACAACACACACATATGTGTGAGCACACGTCATTACATAACAAGTGTGCTGCCACTGCCTGCTGCTGGGTTTTCCCTTTAATTAAGTGACTTGCATGGATCCACTCTGCAGAGAGGGACTATTTTCCTTATGTAACAAACCCACATCAGCTCCGACTCTGTTTGGTGCCTGTAATGGTTTTTAAAGGAGATGAGGTTGGGTTACGGCTGCAGTGACACAGCCACATCCATCTTTTGTTACACTCGTTATATAATCCTGCTGCAGACGCTGTGGCAGAGACTGCTGTCTCGATTTCTGTCAGTGTGCATTAATGTTTGCAGATTAGCGGCTTTGTGCTGCGTCACATGACCTGCTTTATTTGGACTGTAATTACAGGTGAACGGGAACATTTCCACGCAGGTAGAATTCGTCAGACGGACTTAAGAGATCAAGTATAATCAGCTGACTCCCACACACCTGCTGTGACACCACATCGTAACCAGCTCCACAGACTGTGTGGCTTTGAAGCTGCTGAGCTGAAGACAGAAATAGTTTCATTGTTACTATTAATTGGTTCTTTGATGATTGAGCACAGAGTGGGACATCATTTCTGTGAGTGTGGATTAGCACAAGGATGCGCCACAAACAAGACTCAGTGATGCTGCTGTGACTCACAGATGAGGTCAAAAAAACATTGTGATCTACAGTGAGAGCAGGCGGCGGGTGGAGGAATGAACGTGAGCGGGAGGAAGTGAATGAGAGGGTGTGGGTGCAGTAGTGAAGGAGCGAGGACGTGATGCCGTACCCGGGCCAGTGCACAAAAGTCATGCAGAAGAGAGCACAAACCAAACAGACTGTGGAGCATCAGTCTGGTTTCCTGGATGATCACAGTGGAAACCTGGACAACACTTTAGACTTTCCTCCAGAAACCACACGCATGAGGTTCAAGCAGGACTGGCAAGGATACACCTCGAGGGTGAACTCCCGCGCCGACTGAGGAATGAGCTGCTACTTCATAAATCAACCAGTAATGGCCTCCAGACGCTAAGTGCACATTGATTAAAGGCCCAGCGCACTCAGCTTGTGTACAGCTGGTGTAAATCTAATCAAAGTATATTTAACTTTTGGATTGTTTTGAGGAGATGGAGCACGCTGTGATCCCGTCATCCATCGCTGTGGTGAGCAGCACAGTCTTTGCAGCCAAACACAACAATGCAAACAGCTGAGCTAGTTTGTGGATGCAGAAGTAAGCGTGTAAATTCCTGCTTGTTTATGTTGACACTGAACTCACCACCTCTCCTGCTTGGACTTTGCTTCCTTCCACACACTTGTCTGAACTAGTATTTCCAAAGACCTCGCCCCCTTTCACCTCGTCAACACCTAAAATATGGAAAACAGCTGCCTTCAGCTGGATTTCCCAGCATGCCATTGCATTTGTAGTGCTCCCCTGGTCCTCCTGACCTCACCTGCAGTTTTAAACACTCGGCTGTCTGCACGGAAACACTGACAAAACTCAAACGTTCCACTGCTGTCCACAGCTTCTGATCC